ATCTATCTATCTATCTATCTATCTATCTATCTATCTATCTATCTATCTATCTATCTATCTATCTATGGATTGAAGCTGGACTGGAAAACAATGAAAATTTAAAATTGGAGGAAGAAACAATAATTGTGCTGATGATGTCTCTTTGACAGTTGAAAATACAACTGACCTGCAAACTCCAATGATGAAACTCAAGGGGCATGGTGGAAAAAACAGGAATAACTTTGAATATAAAGAAGATCAAATCAATGACAAGAGGTGTAGCAAACTGCCTTAGAATGAGCAAATGTTGAAGTGGTGGTTAGCCTTTGCCTTACAGAATTAACTATCAACAAAAAAAGAGAATCAATTGTCACAGACCAGCATTTGATAGAGGAACATACAATGCTTTGGGAAAGATATTCAGATGCTGTTTCTATCTGCAGAGATGAGAATCATGAAATTTTTTTCCCTCTGATGTTTTATGGAAATAAAAGCTGGACATATACACTGCACGTAGAGAAACAAACAATTGTTGCAGTATTTGACCATTTCTGGGGATCTTGTTCTGAGATTATTGATTTCAGTGAGACAGCAGAAGTGAAGAATGAGGTTATTTTCACACAAACAAAATGGTCAGACTAACCTGGCAACTCTAATTCTAACCCTGACAATAGCAGCATGATTACTAAGCCACTAAATAGAATTAAAAATGCAGAACAATCCCAGCTGCTCTTCAATTGTGCATATGAATTTAAAATCAGATTCAAATTTAAAAAAAATGAGAAAGTAGATCAGTACCGACAATCTGTAAACAAAGAGGTCAAGAATACCGAAAAAACGTATATATTGCTGCTTAAATATTGGATCTGACTTACTTTAACCGCTTCATTTATAAAATCATTTCAGATTGATTTCTGATGTTGAGATTGAAATGTATGTTGTATTTTGAAAGCTGGCTTCGAAAGACAGCTATCTTGAAGGAAAGCTAAGAAATACCTTTAATAACTCAATGAAACAAAGGAATATTCGGCATAAATTCCTAGCAGGAACAAGATTTCAATTATTGGCAATATTCCTGGACAGGTTATTAATCATCCAATAGAGAATTGAATTTACAATGTTTCTTTTTATTATGTGATATTCCAATACAATTTAGACTCCAGAGAAATGAAAGGTTACTGCCCTAACTTCTCCTCTGACATAATCATTGCAGTCTTTTCATCCCAGGAAAAAACCTTGTTTTCCGAACTGGTCAGGAGTCTGCCAGTTTTTAATGTTCCACTGCAATGGAGTTATTTTTTAAGTACAGAATATATTCTGCATTCTAACTTCCTCCTACAATAATAGGAGGTATGACCTTTCATGTTATTTTAATGCGTAATATTATAACTCAACCATCTCAATGGGAAGACTGATGTAGACAGAAGGTACAGGAAAACGATATCATAAAAAAGAATATGGTACCTTCAGATATAAAATGCGGTAATTTCCATTTTAAAATTTTACATGCTTTTTAAAAGAGGCTGCTGTAGTCCCTCTTGTCCCTGTTGGAAAAGGATTATTAAACTTTTCCCAAAACCCCATTGATGGTGGGAGGGAAGGGAGGGAGCATCTTAAGGGTTTCGTAACTTTCTCCCTTTCCTTCTCTCATGAAGCTTTCATTTGTGGCAAGGGATTCTGTGTAGACAAGTGGGAAATAAAAAACATGCAATAGTCTCCCAACCACCAACAGTGACAAAAGAAAGGCAAAAACATTTTTATATGAGGAAAAACATGAGCAAATTCTGTATCAATCTGAAGGCCACTCAGCAGGTCAGTTGTTGGTAATGGGTCTAGATCAGGGGTCTTCAAACTTGACAGCTTTAAGACTTGTGGACTTCAAATCCCAGAATTCCTCCTCCAGTCATGTTAGCTCAGGAACTCTGGGAGTTGAAGTCCACAAGTCTTGCCAAGTTTGAAGACCCTTGTTCTAGAACTATCATAAAAATTGAAGCTCCTTGCTGTGTTGTCTGAGTCTCTTGGGCAGTTATGCTTCCTGCAAGACTTCGCTAAGGAATCTGACGCCTCTAAAGTCAGACGATATTCCAGCCTTAGAAAGGAATATGCAATCTGAATGAAAAGAAGGACTGGAGAGACATGATAGCAGTGTTCCAAAATCTCTGCCACAAAGAAGAGGGATTCAACTTGTTCTCCAAAACACCTGAAGGCAGGACAAGAAGCAATGGATGGAAATCAATCAAGGAGAGAGCCAACCTAGAACCAAGGAAAAATTTCCTGATCGTTAGAACAATTAATCAGTGGAATGATTTGCCTCTAAAAGTTATGAGTGCTCCATCACAGGAGGCTTTTAAGAAGAGATTGGACAACCATTTGTCTGAAATGTTATAGGGCCGTGATGGCACACCTATGGCACACGAGCCCCAGCCAAACTTACCTGCGCTGTGCATGCATGCGCCTCCCAGCTCATCTTCGGCCTGTTTGAGGCCGTTTTCGCCCTCCCAGAAGCTCAAGGGAAGCCTCTGCAGCCTCGGGAGGCCGAAAAACGGGCCTTCCAGAAATACCAGAAGTGCCAAAATGGGGCCATTTTCAGGCTTGGTGGGCGTGGCAGGAGAAGGTTACTGCAAAATCCCATTCCCTCCCCACCCACTAACCTGCTTTCCAGCGCTGTTCTCCTGTGCAGTGCAGGTAAGGGGGCGGGGCGGGGCTGTTGCATGTGCATGTGCATGCACAGGGGAAGCGGGGCGCATTGCATTGTGGGTGCCGGCACCTGCTTACTTCCGGCACACCACAACAAAATGGTTCACCATCACTGTTATAGGGTCTCCTGCTTGCGCAGGAGGTTGGACTAGAACAGGGGTCTCCAACCTTGGCAACTTTAAGACTTGTGGACTTCAACTTCCAGAATTCCTCAGCCAGAAAAGCAAAGCAAAGTTGGCTGGGGAATTCTGGGAGTTGAAGTCTGCCAAAATTGCCATGGTTGGAGACCCCTGGATTAGAAGACCTCCAAGTTTCTTTTTAAATGTTATTTTATTTCTATCTTGGAAGCATTTGGAAAGAGATTTTTTTCTAAAGTTGGCACTGGCAAAAGGCAAAATGAAGCACCCCACACTCGATCCAGAAGGGCACAGCACAAGACTTATATTTCTGCTAAAGTCCAAGGATTCCTAATTTGGCGTAATGGCCCAAACCAAAACAAACCCAGATTTACAATCTGTGTGATATGGTTGTTAAGATGTTAAGGTAGGACTTGGGAGATCAAGTGCTAGTCCATTTTTAGCCTGGTAGCTTGCAGTCCTCATCAGGTTTGGGGGAAATCCTGAGGCAGAAAAGCTCATACCTGAACTCATGGAAGAAAAGTAGGCTGGAAATGCAAAAAGTGATAAAAATAATAAAACTGTGAGATGAGTAAGGGAGGGAAACCATTGTCTTCCTTTATTTATGGACTGCCAGCTGGAGCTTGGCAGAGATTACGACATATTGGAGGCTCTATTTTCAGAGCTCATTAAATATCAGTAAAATAGCTCTGCCTGCAAAATCAAGGTCTTAGCTATGAACAAAAATACACAAATGTTATATACACTGCTGTCTGGATCTGTAAGAAAATTCATTTAAAATTTACCGAAGATGAATTTCAAAACCTGAACATATTTAACATGACTTATTAATCATTCTAAAAGAGTGAGGTTTAGAGTGATCCAAATGCAAAATGATATAATGCAGATTCAAATGCTTCAAAACAGTTGTTTTGGAATCATTTTGAAGGTCAGGCTTTCTAATAAGACATCTTGATTATTTGTACCGACAATACCAGAGAAATAAAGGCTCAGAAAGATGTTAATTGTGTATTGGTTTTAACAATCTATTACAATCAGGGACCTCAGTCACTTTAACAGGCTACAACAAACAACAAAAAGAGTTGTCATTTTGCTGTAATACATTAATGATGAAGTATTGGTTACTCATATAGCATAATGCTTTTCAACTGTCCATTAAAATTTTTGATTTGTTCTTTTATATGATTCTCACAGACCCTTCATTTAGTGGCATGATGGCATATTTATACCCATTTAGTCATCAGGAGTTAAGTACATTAGAAAGCATCTTTATTTTTATCTGTTTTTAAATTAATTTGATTTATTGGTTTCACAGGCTCTCTGTAAAGTTCTCACTTTGTGATGGAACTAACATCAAAACTATGCTTGGATTTTTTTTTTAATAAAAAGCAAAAAACCCCAAGATTAAATTCATGTAGCTTCAATTGTACATACTTATTTCAGCTTCCTAAAACACCTCCAATGTTTTGCTTCTGAAAGTAAAGAAAATCCCTCTAATTGCAAAACTGCACATAAATAATAATTAACGTTGATATTGTTTCAATGTTATTTTGTGGTAATTGAGACAAATGATTAAAAGTACATTTATTTCTTCCTCTTTGTTCCCTTTGGTAGTATTTTTCCCCTCTTGTCAGGAAATCAGTTTAACTATCTATCTTTCTGCTAAAGCTTTTATTTTTCTCCCCCTTTGTAGATTTACCTCTGGGGACTCTCCCTCATTTAATATTAGAATATTTTTGGAGGTTTGGAAGTGTTTTTTTGCAGTAGAAAAGCAGTTTATGAAAACCTTAAAGCAATAGAAAAGCACATATGCATTGTTGTTAAGAGAGATGCAGTCTTTTTGTTTTTTGGGTAGATATTTTATAGGTAATTGAAAAACAATCCCTCTAGTAGCAATGACAGATATTGATTGAACCCCAGAAGACAAGAACAAGAGGAAGTTAGCTGTCTGTTTGGAACTGTGTGTATCTTTTAAAATAGCCAAGGGGGCAATACCTTAAAAAAAAAACCAGACAATCCAACGACAATTTAGCAAGCTCACTAACAACTGGAAATCAGTTAGACTGAAAAGAAAGAGGAAATTAAAGGGTAGGGAGGAGAGAAAGAAAAAAAATGGGATTGCCAGCCAGCATTGCCAGAAGTAGCCTAACACACTTGGAAGGTTTGTTGAAGAAGACGGCTTGACATAGAGATGGAAACCATGCCGCCATGGATTATGTACACACAGTACTCCTAAGAGCAGAGAACTGCATGAATTCACCTTCTTAAAAATTACGTCAGAAAGGAAAAAAGAAACGAAAACTTGCCTGTTCAAATTCTTCCATATCCACTTCTCCATCACCATTTAGATCAAACATCTTGAAAGCGATTTCAAAGTTTCTCTGAGGAGCTAGAAAAAAAAACATCCAGTACATTATAGGCATTACATTATGGAGTAATCAGAAAGCAGAAATAATGATTTAAGAGTGATATTACGGCTTAAAACTTTTCTTTAAAAAAAGTATACTTGTTTTTGCAATATATTTCTTATGTCTCTCCAATGGGTGTTTTTATCTTCTTATCTTTGTTTCTGCAGCTTTGTTAATATGTATTATCTTAATAGTCCTCTTTAGCAATTTTCTTGCAAAAATATATCTCTGGAATATCTTGAAATTATGAGCTCTGCAGGGCTATTTTTCTCCAGTAAGTCTGTATTATGTTTCATAATTTTATTTATGGGTCTACGCACAAAATGTCTGTAATTTCTGTCCTCTCTAAGGAAATAGAATAGAGAAAGCCTAATTAGAAATGAAGGATGCAATGGTAAACTAAGAGTTTCAAATCTAAGCATGAATTTAAATGCAAGGCATTGTTATCAGGGCAGCACTGCATAAATTTTCGCAAAGACGAATTTGATGAAAAAAGTGGGACAATGAAAGGTTTTAATTAACCCATTTGCAACAAGAAGATTCTATGTGAAAAATCAGAGAAATGACAATTTCATTTTAAGTACTATTTACTTGAAATCAAATCACTGTTTTCATTTGGAGTTACTTCTTATTAAATATTGTGGCCTTAGGTAGCAATAGCAATAGCATTTAGACTTATATACCGCTTCACAGTGCTTTACAGCCCTCTCTAAGCAGAGTCAGCCTATTGCCCCCAACAATCTGGGTCCTCATTTTACCCGACCTTGGAAAGATGGAAGGCTGAGTCAATCTTGAGCTGGTGAGAATTGAACTGCCAAACTGCTGGCAGCCAGCAGTCAGCAGAAGCAGCCTGCAGTACTGCATTCTAACTACTGTGCCACTGCAGCTCATACAGTAATTAAACTGTAACTAAAATTATAGGAAGATGAAAGACAGGTTATACCTCCAGCTTCGAAAAATATATTGGTAGACCCACACCTTAGCCCAGTGATGGCAAACTGATGACACGCATGTCAAAGGTGATACGCTACAATATTTTGGGTGACATACCAACATTCATCAATACCTGACAACCACAGTGGTACCTTGGTATTCATTGGAAATTCATTCCAGAAGATGCAACAAATACTAAAACCAATGAGTACTGACTGTTCTGACCAAGGCTTCCTGAGACGGTAACAATCATATGCTGTTCCCAAAAACTTTGTTTTTATTTCAATGGCTGTGAATTATATGCATTCACAGCCCGTAATGAGTCCCAAACAGTTTATGAATAGTCCAACAGAAGTCTGCCACAGTCTTTCGGAATAAGACTAATAAGCACCCACCTTTATCTCCCTTGAAATGCTGCCAACGACTAAATTGCCAATTAGCTGTACAAGGCCAAACTGACAATTATAAAACGTGTGTACAAAATGTTTTATGACTGCCAGAATCTTGCCACAAACAGAGGACAAAGTCAACATGGAGCTTCAGATTTTAAACCGACCAGAACAAAGTTGCTTCCTGCAAAGGCTCATATCCCTTTGCTCCTCCTTTATGTTTTATGGGAGGGGCCAATCATCCTCAAACCTTACTCCGAGTTGCCCCTTTTGTCTTACAGTAACTGTTCTTGCTTTCTGGCAGCTCTGCACAAGTGCACACTCGGAACAGGCTCCCCCTGTTCCTCTGCCTCGCTGATGTCACATTCTGGAGGATCCAGAGTCAGCACATAACTCTCAGATGGCCCTGGCCCCATCTCTGTGTCGGACGCAGATCCCTCATCTGAGCCCTCCCCAGACTCCAGGACTGGCCCATGTTCCTCCCCACTGTCCGACTCTGCTGGCCGCCGGCAGGCCACAACACTGAGAAAACCATGTGACTTACTACATGACCTGCTATTTTGGCTGGAAGAAACAGAGAATCACGAAGCAGCTGATGTTAGCAAGTTCTTCCCTGGGCGTCGACGACCATGAGAAAAATAAGTGCTGGGACAAGATTTCTACTTAACAAAATTATTGAGAACTGAACTTGACAAGTTTTGGAGCAGTTGAGTGCTGAGGTATGACTGTATTCTCAAAAGCTCACCCCATTCTTATGTTGGGGCTGCAGAAGCTATGTGACAATGGGGGGTGGATGGGTTTTCTTCTCGCACAACCACTGAACTTTCTGGAAATTATACAAAGGGCCATGTTCTTGCGTGGCCCCTGCAGGCTCCAAAAATAAGTTTGTTTACTTGTTATTTCCATGTTGTAATTATTTGGTATTTCTCTATATAATACCTATTATCACAAAATTAGACTGCATTTTTTAAAGAAAACAAATGAGTATGTAAAGTATTCCCTTTTGTTTGTGTGTGTGTATGCGTATGTATCTGTGTGATATGCTGGAAGAGTCAAGTTAGGCATTTTCCAAATATGTGGAAAATGAGGTTCAGCATCATTGCCCTAGCCTATTCATGCGGACATCTTTGATCTAAGACAGTTAAGAAAACTTTTTCCCTCTTCTCCATCATTTTAAGCACTCAGGAAAATATTAATTAAAATCTAGTAGCTGCAATAATTACTGTACCAAAGAAATATCTCTGTAATTTTCATGTTATGGCACTTTTTGCCAGGGAATGACTCAGAAGAAAGCTTCGTATCTACTAATACTCTGTTTGCTAGTTAATTTTGAATAGAGGCTGTTTATCTGTATTTTCATACCAAGTCTTCTCATAACTGTTGTCCCATTGCATCTTTGGTTTAGAGCAGGGGTGTCAAACTCAATGTCCGCGGGCTGGATGCAGCCTGCAAGGTGCTTAGATCTGGCCTGCAGGCCTGCCCTGAAAACAGTGAAGGACCAGCCTGCGGTGCCTCTGCTACCAAAAATGGAGCTCAGGAGGGCCATGTGTGACCCTCCTGGGCTGTTTTTGGCCGCAACGGCCCAGTGAAAACGGAGTTCTGTTTTCACTGGCAGAGGGCTGCAGGAGGCCATCGCAGCCAAAAATGGAGGCTTGATGAGTGATGTTGAGCTGCCCATGGCCCCCCTGCCCATGGCCCTTGCCCCCCCAAGGTCAAACACAACCCTGATGCAGCCCTCAATGAAATCGAGTTTGACACCCCTAGTTTAGAGTCAGATGAACTCAGCCATTAGTTCAATTGTTTATTTACATCAATTGTTTATTTACAACAATTGCTTATTTACATCAATGACATTATATGGGAATTTCATTTGAGTGTAGTGTGATGTTTGTCTATTCATTCTGTAGAGGTGGTAAGGCTGATTTGTCTTCAGTGCACTCAACGCTCCACCCCAATAGTTCCCAGGAGAGAATTTACAACACGTTCCACCTTGCCCTCAAGCTAATTAGACACCATTCACCTTCAGTAATAGCGGAGAATGACAAAAGTTCACCTTACTGTAAGAGCAATTACAGGTAGTCCTTGACATGCAACAGCAATTGAGCCCCAAACTTCTGTTGCTAAGCGAGACATTTGTTAAGTGAATTTAACCCCACTGTACGATCTTTCTTGCCACAGTTGTTAAGAGAATCACTGCAGTTGTTAAGTTAGTAACATGGTTATTAAGTAAATCTGGCTTCCCCATTGACTTTGCTTGTCAGAGGTTCTCAAAAGGTCATCATGAATCAGGTATAAGGTAAATATGAACCGGTTGCCAACCATTTGAATTTCAGTGCTATTGTAACTTTGAAACAGAGGTGGTATTCAGCAGGTTGATCAGCTCTGGAGAACCAGTAGCAAAAATTCTGAGTAGTTCCGAGAACCGGCAAATACCACCTCTGACTGGCCCCGGCCCCATTTATTCTCTGCCACCTGAGTCCCAGCTGATCGGCTGGGTCTTCTTTTGTTGCCCTGCACAGGAGAACAGAGCTGGAAAGCAGGTTAGTGGGGTGGGGAGGGAATGGGGATTTTGTAGTATCCTTCCCCCAGGAATGGGGCGGGAATGGAGATTTTACAGTACCCTTCCCCTGCCATGCCCACCAAGCCACACCATGCCCATCAAACCAGTAGTAAAAATATTTGAATCCCACCACTTTCAATGGTCGCTAAACGAACTGTTATAAGTTGAGGACTACCTATACCTTTAAAAAAAACCTCTCCATCTTTTGAGTGACTGTACTTCCAGTCCCCCATGTCTCATTAATATTTTACACGAAACATGAAAAGAATAGGTTCAATACACTTCCCACATCAATCACGAGAAGACAATATGGAGTATATTTGCCTTTAAACTTCGACACTCAAGCCCTTCATATTCTTTACAAATTTGAACTGCCTAGAGGCACAGCCTCAGAGCCTCGTAACATTTTCTGGTGCTCATCAAAAAAAAAGTCTAAATGGAATTTTAGCAAATGTATACTATTCTGCAATAAGAACTAAACTGAGAATGCCATTGACAGTAGAAGTCCTTTCAAATGTTTTAATATTCTCATCATGTGCTGCAGAATGCGAATATCAGGCTTCCGAAACGAATTTAAATGAACTGAAATGTTTTCCTTAGATACCCTTCATTATACTATTAATCATACTATTTCTCTCTTGTTCTCCCCTCCCCAATTAATACATTATATGCAAAATCAGGCACTATAATTATTCTGCATAATATAGGTTTTTTTTTTCCTTATTTCTTTCCTCTTATTGGGAGGGAACAGGAAATATATCTCCCTGTGGGAACATGCATCTTCAGACACTACTGGAATTCAACGATGCGAATGCAGAACAGTATTCATTCATATGCAGTAGAAGCCAATGTGGTGTAAGAAATATATAGCTTTCTCCAAAATGTTCGATGCTGGTTCCATTTCTAGTATCCTATTACTAAACCATTGTCATAGCTTCCCCAGAGCATCAAAGGAAATACAGCTTGAGATAGTACAGAGAACTCTCAAAGGATTTTCCCTGCCAACACGCACCGTATATTTGCATTACAGAACTGCTGTTCTCAGGGCTTCTAAGAAATCAAACTAAGGTACATTTGAAATTTAGGTATGATATATCAG